GAATTTGGCGATACGATACATATCATAACAGAGGGGTCACGATACGATAAATCCCGATATACTGCGATACTGTAAGCAAGGCGATATATTGCGATTTTTTTGTCCAAAAATTCTATTAAATAAAAACCTTTTACTGAAAAAAAAAGAAAAGCTAATGTTTACTTACAATGCTAATGCTACCCTTACTCTCTGGCGCTCAGGGGGTAGAGGAGCCAAATGGCTGCCTCACTGCTGCCAACTAGTGGTCAGAGGCTGAACTACAACATAAAAATGAACGGTTGGCAAGAAGGTTGACATTTTAAACCTTAATAAAAAATCGATACAGGGCTTTAGAATATCGATACAGTATCGGGAAATGAAATATTGTGATATTTCAGTGTATCAATATTTTCTTACACCCCTAAACATAATAGAACCATTTTCATTATTTAAGAGTAGGGCTGGGTGGTGTAAACTCAAATTCATATCATCAAATCATATCAAGCATTTTTGCTTTAATGTCGGCCTGTCATACAATGAGCTTCTGCCTGCTGAACTTATGGGCTGCTGCTCTGCTGCACGCTCATCTTCATCATCTTCATCATCTGAGCAGAAACCGACTTTACATTAGCAAGATGGATTTATGACTGAACGAACATCCATGTCTTTTTTTTATCATCTCTGTGGGTAAAAATACATAAAAAAACAAGTTTTTTTCCAGACAACTTAGGTGTTAAAAAACTACGGTTGTTAAAGCTTTGCTCTGCACGATGTGGAGAGTCGGGGGGGTTCCCGACGTAACTTTACTACAGCGGGAGGGGAAAATTTTGAGGATTTATTCTCTCTATACATGTTTTAAAACACTATAATTTCTAATTTATATTTCAAACTCCTCCTGCTCAGTTGTCTCTGCACTCGCAGCCCTGTTGACACAGGTGCAGTGACATAACTGATGACAGGACAGTAGAGGGTAAATTTCTACCGTAGGCCAACTTCATACTGTTTCTACCATCTAGCACATATACCGCACAGCCCTATTTAAGAGTGGATTGAATTTAATGAAATGGAATCATGATTAATCAATTCAGAACCTTTTGAATCAAAATTAAATCAATTTAGAGAATTGGCTGCAATTCCCAGCTCCATGCTAGCTTTATAGGATCATTACTAGCGTTTGTTTCAGTACACGGCTCCCCTTCCAGAAGTGTAATTCTGCACTGGTTTAGGCAGAAACAGACAAAATCAAATCCAAACATTAGACAAAACAAGCAACTAAAACATAGAATAATTAATTTGGCTCTTATGGCACAAAGATTTTAGACTGGATCCACACAAGCTGACATGTAGCATCTAGATTTACATCAGTAAACACAGCGTGCTGAGCGTGGCCTTTTCTTCTGTGAATGCAGGTCACTTCAGGGCCATAGACCAATCACGATGGAGTCTGATGATGACTACACGACAATATCAAATATCAGCAAAAACTCAGACCTGCACTGGGACCTGCAGTGTGATCGCAGTCTAAGGGATTATTTTGAGAGAAAATTTGTCCCACAATGTTTTTTTGTTTTGACTAGATGTTCAAAACTGATGCAACAAGGCTGCAACCTATGCAACTCACAACAAGAAATGTAGAACCCCACAAATATTTAAAGATGTTTCAGAAATGTCCTCACAAATTCCAACCACAAACTGTTTAAGCCCAGTGAGATACCTGCTTGAGGTCCACCTAACATGTATGTTTCTGGTCTGTCAGAGGAAACCAGAGTAACTTTCAAGCATGAAAACAAGTCACTTCCAGGAGTCAAACTGGAGACTTCCTTGATCTAAGAGACAATATTAACCACCACATATTCTGAAACTATGAACTAATGAATATAACCCTGTGCTGACATATCAATCAGCCAACAAGAAAACAAAACCACCAGAAAAACCTCTAGTTTTATTAGTTGAACACATTGCCTTTCAGACCATTTGTCAGTGAACTATTGTGTCCCACAGGTCACATGTTTGCAAACACACAATTCTGTAATCATTAATGTGGAAATGAACTCATTACACACAAAGAAATTTTCATTGTGCTGCCTTCATGTGAACTTCTCTAACCTGGTCTCATTAAACGCAACCCTCAAATTAGCCACAACGTCCTGTCCAGCCTCAAATACATTACAGGCTAATTGCATTTGGGTCGGTCATTAGCCACCTCTTAGGTCAGTAGCATCGGCACAGCCAGCAGACGGAAATACCTGTAATTAGGAATGACCTATCCACTTCAGGCTTACCTTTACCCCCTTACATCAAATAAATCCCTCACATTTACCCATAAAAGGTTCAACTTCAAGTTTTGTCTCAGTTCCTTTTATATGTAAAATGAAAACATAACTTATTTTAATCAAGTATTTTCTATCTTCCTATGAGCAGTCTGTTTAAAACTAGGTTTAGAACAAAAAGAAAACAATAGTATAGGTCCTCTGGACGGGTTCTTCTCTAATGAAACGTTTCGTCTCTCCTCCAAGAGACTTCTTCAGTCTGAGAGTTTCAGGCTAAATTCAGGCTTTTAAGCCCTGCC